AGTTTAATGATGTATAAGTAGATAACACATTATGATCAAGTGAGGTTTAGTCTAGGAATGCAAGGTTGGTTTAATATCTCAAAATCAATTAATGTAATTTGCTCTGTTGAAATGAAAAAGGAGATAAATCATGCGATAATCTGTATAGATGCAGAAAAAGCGCTCGAAAATGCAATCACCCATTCATGATAAAACCTGTGGTAAACTAGAACAAAAAGGATCTTCGTTATCTGATAAGAGGTATGTACAACAGACATAAAGGAATGAAAATCAATGAAAATAATGGCAGTGTTCCCTCTGAGTTCCCATGCTGTCTATTCTCAGTTTTCAGTCCACCATGTGCAGGCGCTCCTGGCCAGTGTGACAGACCAATGACGCGGGACAAGTAAGACCCAGAAAAAGTAACATCATCATTATTCCTAATTATGGTTCTCAAGATAGAAAATCCAAGGGAGTATACGAGCTATTTAAATTAAACGAGAATTTAAGTAAGACCATTGGACTCAAGGTAAAGACAGAAAACATTATATTTCTACAGCCAGCAACAAAGAAATGAAAAGTGAAATAATAACAACGAAACACTCAAAACTTAGGACTATCTAGAAAGATGTGCGAGGCCTTCCACTAAAAACTGCTAATGTTACAGGAGACGCAGAAGACTCAATGAAAGAAGGGTAGACGACGTTCAGAGATGGAATTAACCTGTGGACTCCTCTCAAATAGTGAGTCCGAGAAAATCCCCGCAGACTTTAAAGGCTTTTCTGGGGTGTGTGGGAGGGTCGAGAATTGGCAAGCAGATTTCATATTTTACACAGTTTATTCGACGCCAGTGACTCACACTAGCTAAGGCCACTCTGAAGGACATAAAATGAAGGACTTAGGACAACGGTTTGGTAATTAAGACATGGGTGATCCCGGCGCAGATTTACAAACTGGAGATGCAGTTTACAGCACACTTAAATGTGCGGTGTTGCAAAAAAAATTATGACTCGAAAGGCTTAAATACATCTCGAACGTCCTACTGAAATCTGAGTCAGGTGAAGCCTACTCAGGGCTCAGCTGCAGGGGTCTGACTTCTGGGAAGGGGGAGTGGAGAGAGGCGACTGCTTCAAGTCCCAGCACAAGTTGGCCACCCAAAGCGGGAGCAAAACCCAGGCCTCCTTTGCCCTGAGGGAAGAGAAGGCCGGGGAGACCCTCTGATGGACACACCCAGACACAGGAGCCCCTGGGATGGCTGCATCCGAGAACCTGGCCGCTAGGCCCTCCCTCGCCTGGCACCCCCAACCTTCATCGCCATCCTTGTCTTAAAACAGAGAGCACTTGGGACTGACGGTGTGAGCTGGGTGTGGCAGCCAGTGAGCGACAGCTGGCGGCAGCCAGGGGGATCTCTAGACCAGGGCCTCTGAGGGTCCCGGCCCAAGGCCAAGGTACCTGATCCAGGGAAGCGCAATCAGGACAGCGATGCAGGAAGGCGAGGCCCTGGAACCAAACACGACGCCTTTCCAAGGTCCTCCGGACAGGGTCTCCGAACACCGCATCCCGTGGACCAGAATGGAACCGTCTGCGTCCACCCCAGGGCTGGCTAAATTCTCCCTGCCGGGCATCCGTCACACTTGTGTGCAGGGGGAGTTCTGGCTCCTTCCTGAGCTGTGTCTCCTGCCCTGGGGGCTGTTCTCTCCTAACGGCCTTCTTGCCCTTCAGGGGACGAATGAGCCAGGGCAGAGGTCCACGGTGCTCAGCCCCAGGAGCTAGCGGCTGACACTTCACCCCAGATCACTGCGCCTGTCCTGGGAGCTCGGGGTGGGGCAGAGAAGGGCACTGAGGCCCCGAGGCCGTCTGAGGCCTGGCCCAGTGACTGCCCTCGCTGCGCAGAAGTGCCCCGGAGACCCAGGGAAGCGGCGCCTTCCGCACACCTCACACTCGTCTCTGCCACCTCGGCCCCTGTCAGCTTGGCATCTTTTTACCGCGAGGCAGACGAGACACCAAGGCGCAGGGTCAAGAACGTCCCGTCCCCTCGGCTCGGAGCTGTGTGTGAGCGGTGGACGCGGGACTCCCACCACCGCTGTGCCTTAGGGGGCTGCGGGACCCTCTAGAGGGCAGTGGGATGTCCCTCCACAGGGGCCTTTCGGGTCCACGGCGGCTGCTGGGCTACTAGTGTGTCTGGCAAGAACCTGTGCAGACCCGGCCCCTCCACGCTAAGATGGACGCTCGAGCACAGTCACTGGCCCGGGAGCCCGGTGGCCCTGAATCTGCGAGTATCAGGCCCAGGGGCGCCTCCCGAGAGCCGTCCTGGCGCTGGCTTCGACCAAGCAGAGGCAGAGGCAGCTCACTGGCCGCCTGGCCGCTCACTGGCCGCCTGGCCGCCGGCTGGGCCCAGCGCTCCCCGCTGCGCTTGCGCCGTGGCCTTCGGCCTGGACTGCTGCGTCGGCAACAGCGAAACGCACAAGTGCACAGAAAACGCCCAAACGAGGCCTGAAGCGGCCGGCCACGAGTGGGGTGCGGGGAGCGGGGAGCACGAGCTTTTGCGGGGGGGGGACAGCTGAACTTGAGGGAGCTTCGAGGGAGCCTCCCCGCGGCGAGGGGGGGGCACCCCCCAGTGCAGCCGGTGGACCGGGCACTTACAGAGCCAGGCCTGTCGTTGGCGCTCGCAGGGCTTCCTCGGCGCCGTCTCCGGGTCCCTCCAGGACCTGGCTCCGTGGGCAGCAGGTCGCGCGGCCCCCCGCAGTCCTGGCACAGCACCGCGGGCTCCGCGCGGCCCCGCCCTGCCCCTGCGCGAACTGACCGCGCGCTCCCGAGGCTGAATCCCGCTCATCTGTTAAATGGGAAGAACAGACCTGACTCCGCAGCGCGTGGCCGCCCCGCCAAAGGAGACAACGGGCAAGGGCCAGGACCCGGCAATGCTACTAAGAGGCCCCCGGGCCCAAGGCCACCCACGATGCCCATGTTTCAAGCCCGAGGCCGGCTGGCTTCGCTTCCTGTCCCACCCCGCAGACAGGGGCCCGGTGCTGGCTGCCCCCTGCGGAATTGAGTGCGAGGCCACTCCCTGGCCATTAATGTCTGAGAGTATCAGAACCATCTGCACTAGTCCATCTGAAAAACCCCAGCTGGGCCCCAGCGGAGAAAAGTGGCGCTCAGGAAACAGCACGCACGGCCCGCGAGAAGCGGGGTCCAGGCTGTCCGTGCGCACTTTCTGCCCAGGCCCTGCCAAGTGCCGAGAAGCTCCAGCACCCCACTTGCGGGGGGTGGGGTGGGGGGGGCTGTAGGGCACTGTGGGTGGGCGGACCCCAGGAGGTCAGCGCCCCTTACCTGGCGAGAGGTGTGAGCCAGGAACGGCCCCACCCCAGGGCCCAGGCTCGCCGCCCGCGTCCGGACGCTCAGCTTGGGGGGCTGGCAGAGACCCAGCTCCGCGTGGGGCGTGGGGCGGGAGGGGAGCCGCGTCCTGAAGACCGCCCCGCCCCCGCGCCAGCGCCTCGAACGCGAACGCGCAGACTGTCGGCTCACTGATGACCGTGCAGCTTTCCTAATGGAACACAATCGCTGAACTTGGTCCATTTCAAGCACTTTAGCCTCTAGGACAGCAGACTGCTGATGAGAACCCTCGGCAGTGGGCGCCATGTTAATGAGACCCAATTTCATAGGCTTGCAAACTTCCCCTGCCTCCTGCTGGATGCCCTGCCTGCCCCCCTCAGTAAAAGGTTGCATCAGAGAGAGATTTCCATAATTTATAGTATGGGCATTTCACTGGGGACGAGAGCTAATCTGTACTTACCGATACATTTAAGAAAATGCACACTCCCGCAAGCCTGCGCCATTTATGACTCTTGGCACAAACCGCAATGCTCAGTCTTCAATTAAGGGACACCTTAGGGTTCATTATCACACAATCGCTCCCTGTGAACCATGCCAAATGCTGTTTTGGCACAGAGCTTGGAAGATGAATTAGAAGGAAGTCTCCGTAATGCCCTCTCCGTGGTCCCATTACCATCATCAGGGCTCAGGCCTCCTCTCGCCCGGCCCCTCCTTCGTACAAGTGGCTTTTACTATTCAATTTCTCAACGTCAAACTCGATTCTCTAGAGGTGTAGTTAAAGATGCCACATCTCCTTTTTGTCTTCCGGCTCTCAACAGGCTCCCCACGGCCGCAGATGGGCCGCTCTCCACACCCCTTCTCGGCCG